AGTTACGGTTAAGGTAAAAGTAGTACGACCGAAGTAGGTTGGCGGGTGGGTGGTGATGACTAGCTCGTCCTTCCTACTAGTCTACACTGACTAAGTAGGGACGGCTAGCGCAGATAGCCCTCGTGTAGCTTTGCGCGAAATTCCAAAACAAACAAACAAATCTTATTCCTTTATTTGGAAACTTGAATTTCTCAGAAATGAGCATACGATCTTCATATTTTCTAGATATCATTTGAAAAACACGTCTAATTCACATACCGAGAATCAAAGTTTACATATTTGCTACTGAAATTTCCATTTCTTTATTTGTCTGTTTAATCTATACACTAAATGAAAAGGATAGTAATAACAAATTCAACTGAACTCTCATTTCGAGCAATTTTGTTGTTGTTTTTTTAACAAAAAGCCGACTACACTTTTATTATTAGGCTGACAAATTATATATATGAAAATTATATACATAAGTCTATATATTTATATACTCACTCAGAAGGAGCTCGAAATATCGTAAACAACAATAAAACAAGAACCAAATTTTAAACTTTCTGCTCTTTGAAAATAAGCTTTAAAATTTCATTTCCTTAAGATCTTAGATGCTAACTGCATCAAGAGCATGAAAAGTTTCCAAGACAATCAGATGTTCTTCTTTTCCAAACACAAACAATAGCTAAACTGACCGACGTCGATTTTCAAAACGACTTATTTTTCTCGATCATGCAGTCATTTGTGAAAACCTTTAATCCCAGTTATACATTATCTCAAATCAGTTCGCATACATATACATACTTAAAGTGGTTACTTAGTGGGTATTTGGCCCATAGCAACATGCAATATGAATTACTAGTGTTCATTCTTATTATGAGATTTGGGTTTCGTAAGCTAGTAAAGAAGAGATAGGTATTCAGTACATTGATTAAAACAGTCTGCTCAATCTCATTGTAATAAAGATGATAATACGTATAGCCTGTTTTGAATTCGGATGGTAAGTGCCAAAAACTGTTAGTAACAGCGTCAGAGTTTTTAACCTGTTAGGTCCAAGTAAAGCTGTTTGTTTTAACCTTAATTCAAATAAGCAATCCTCTTTTGAAATAGTCGGACTGGACGTGGTTGAGCAAGCAATAAATGCAACAACTGATCGTTTTAGTCAAATCATCTGGCCACGTAGCTCATCAGGAAGAAGACCAAAGGTAGATTCCAAAACAATGATGTTCTTGTTTGGACTCCGTTTAGCGGTGAACAATTTCCATCGTGTTGCATTGCAGCTGGTTTCTCTCCTGAAATAAAAACAATCGTTTGTTGTTTCAAATGGATGACACAATTTCCATCGTGTTGCATTGCAGCTGGTTTCTCTCCTGAAATAAAAATAATCGTTTGTTGTTTGAAATGGATGACACAATTTTCATCGTGTTGCATTGCAACTGGTTTCTCTCCTGAAATAAAAATAATTGTTTGTTGTTTCAAGTGGATGACACAATTTCCATCGTGTTGCATTGCAGCTGGTTTCTCTCCTGAAATAAAATTAATTGTTTGCCATTACAAATGGATGGCGAAAAGTAGAACTTAGCTAGCTCTACTGATAGCTATAGTTTATCTTGCTCTTGATTATATAGATGAATATATTATCAAAGGTTTATCTACATTTTTATATGTATAAATAATGACAGCTGCAACATTATATTGTGTTTAACTGTTTAGAAATGGAAATATTATTGAATAAATCCTCCTCAATCTAAAATAAAACTGGCTGAAGTGTACTTAATTTTTAAATACAGCTTGGATATTTATTATACAAACAATCAGTGTAGAGCGATGTTAAGTTAAACCACTTATTCGCCCAGATAACTGGCTGGATTTAAGCATCATAAACATTTATGTAGGCTAATATTGTTTAATTTGGCCCAAAACTAACTGGACTCAGCTTTTGGAAGAGTGTTTTCCCCAAACAACTCCATCCAGATAACACAATGTAACCAGAAACGTGGATGAGAATGAAACAAATCATTTAAAACTGTCTTCCTTTAATTAACTACATTTCAAAGAAAAAACTGTTGTACGTTTATGATGCACAAGAGTCCAATAACTTCTGGGCCACCTTGTATACCATTCTGGAAAAGAATTGCACGATAATATCTGAATTTCTTACTAATAAACTATAGGCTGCTTTTTATTGACCAAATTCTTGGATAAGTAAAGTCGCTGTTCCATGGAACTCTTGTAAAAAATGTTAACAATATTTTTTGGCTGAATTATTACATTACGATCAAAGAATTATACAATTAAAACATTTTATAATGTGGACATTTATGTTAGTTATTTGTGGGCTTTCAAATGAACAATACTGGCCAAATAAAATATATGGTGGTTGAATCGTTAGACGATTCTTAGTTAAACTTATTGATATTTAACTTTATGATACTTATTTATTACATTAGTAATTGACGTAAAGGTGTATACATTTTAGTCTTTAACTAATAATACTTTCAAACATATAACTTACAAGCCTAGTCATGACACAGTATTGATAATAAATTACTGTAACACTTAAACAAGACTAATTTAGGTTCGCATTGATTAACTCATAATAGCTATTTGTATGAACATCATTATTACAAATCATTATGAGTTAAAGTTTGGAAATTTTTGGTGAAAGTTTGTGCAAAATGTTTCTTCATAGCGTAATTGAAGATCGCCTAATGAGTTGGTATAAAGCAGAGATATAATGTTACAATTTATAATGTTTAAGATTTCGAATTGTTGTAAAATGTCTATAATGTATTCTATAAAGATAATTAACTGCATATACGATTTTCATTATATTTTACCTGTGAGTAGTTTCATGTTTTCGTTAAATGTTTTGCATTTAACCAGTTATTGTTTTTATCATGTTCGTTATATATGACTTATAGATTGGACGCTGACAAAAGATCCAAGATTCGAACCGCGATATGCTACTGAACATCCTGTGCACTTTCAGTTCTAGGCGAGTTGCAGCTGTGGCAGGTAATTTCACTATTTGGATAGTAGCCGTATAGTTTCCCATTAAGTTTTAAGTATTGTTATGTCGGTGCTCTAAGGATCTATGCTTTGATCGTTTAGACCACGTGTCCACAGCATCATCCGTCGTTGACAATATCAAATATATTGTTATGTTTTGTTGCTTTTTATTTTGTAATTTTTTTGTCAAGCACGAAATCATTCTGTGTAATAACCTAATCTTATTATAATGGAGCTTGCGATGTATACGTCCAAAACTCGGATCTCGGAAACTATCGCACCGATCATCACCAATCATAACTGGATAATATTTTTATAACTAGGCAGTAATTTTATAGCTGAGCAATAAATAAAACAATTGAAATTTCCTCAAAAATGATGTGTTTCAGATTTAACCAATAAATATTACAAAGAAAAAAAAGTAAGTTTGAAATATAAAACAATCAAAAAACAAACTTAAAAAAAGATTATTTGTTTTTCTTTAGTGAAAATCTCATGAATGTTGCAACAGAAAGGAAGACACTTTTATTGATAACTGCGTATACAAAGAAATTCTTCAATATAATCTACTCTGTGATGATAACTCATTTTTAAACCAAAATTGCAATAAAATCCCTTTTCTCATGGATGGTGAACACTATTGAATGTTAAGTATAAGTACATTGCTATAGAACTGTCAGAAAAATCCAGAAAAGATCGCAGGCCCAATAACCTTCCGCAGGAACTAGCAGTTAAACCTGCCCAGAGGGCGGGTATTTCTGCTAATATAATATAATAGTTGGGCTCCTTGTGTGATGATTTTACATACATCAAAACAATAAGCGACTTAGAGATGTTTATACGTACACTGATACATATTAAGATGTCAAGAGTTTATAAGATGTTTGTACGTACACTGATACATATTAATATGTCAAGAGTTTATAAGATGTTCATACGTACACTGATACATATTAAGGTGTCAGGAGTTTATAAGATGTTTATACGTACACTGATACATATTAAGATGTCAAGAATTTATAAGATGTTCATACGTACACTGATACATATCAAGATGTCAGGAGTTTATAAGATGTTTGTACGTACACTGATACATATTAAGATGTCAGGATTTATAAGATGTTTGTATGTACACTGATACATATTAAGATGTCAGGATTTATAAGATGTTTGTACGTACACTGATACATATTAATATGTCAGGATTTATAAGATGTTTGTACGTACACTGATACATATTAAGATGTCAGGATTTATAAGATGTTTGTATGTACACTGATACATATTAAGATGTCAGGAGTTTATAAGATGTTTGTACGTACACTGATACATATTAATATGTCAAGAGTTTATATCACATTATACGTAAGCCTGCATTATCCTGCAAATAGATTAGCCTACGTGTTTACTACCAACTTTATTTAAATATTATTATTATTTGGTTTATAAAAAATATAAACATTTTAACATTCTGTTGAGTATAATTTGTTCACATGAGTTTCTTAAGTAATTAATGTTAACTTTTGATCAACGCAAGCTTCCTACAAAGTGGCCAAACTACAAAAGGGATCCTAATAAAAGTTTCTGTAGTGTCCACACCCCTCTAGCCAATTATGTTTATTATTTTTATACCTTAGGACAATATCGGGGAAACATGTGTACACCAGGTGTAAGTGTCTTAACGCGGTGTGTAACTGTTTTGCATTAGGTAGAATTTAATTTAATCATGCATCACACAGTGATTTGAATGATGTACTTATGCCCAAAATATATTTTAAAGTAATTTACGTTCTATAAGTATTAACTGTGTGCGTGAATTCCATAAAGGAAAACATTTTTCCCATCAAACTTGAAATGTTCACCATAAAGTGATCACACTCCTTATTTAGAACATCATACTTACCTGTTGATTTCGTTTCTTTCTTTTGCAGAATTTTGGTGGTGACTCGAGTAGTTTAGAGTAGACCAGAAAAGGGTAGTGGAAACTTCAATATAAGTCAACATTGTTGTCACATCAAAACAATATATTTGAGTGATGATGACGACCAGGATGTTTCCTTAGATAGCAGATAGCAAGAACGCCAGTTTAAAACCAAGAAGAAATAATAAAAGGAAACCCCCCAGAGAGTTAGAAAATTCCATAATAAGATTTACAAGAGACAGACAGTGTTTATGAACGCCTCAAGCCTGATTGGGAAAAATGTTATCTGACATCCTACCTGCTAAAAAAACTTTGACAAACAAGATCAATAGGGAAGTCTCCAGGAAAAATATGTTGATGTTGGTTAAACGAAAAAATCCAGCTCATGTTGGATATGCCAGACTTTCTGTAGCGCCAGCTCTTGACTGGAGGTTCTGTATGTTTTGTCAATAGGTGTCAAATAAGAAAGTAGGAATCTCCATCAAGTGATGACGTATGATGCATGAGCTAGTTAAAGTGCCAAATCACAGATGATTACAGGTGAGGATCACGAACGTAAATTTCACTCCAGATAAGGATTACGGAAGTAGATTTCACTCCAGGTGAGGATCTCGGACGTAGACTCACTCCAGGTGAGGATCGCGAACGTAGATCTCACTCCAGGTGAGGATCACGAACGTAGATCTCACTCCAGGTGAGGATCACGAACGTAGATCTCACTCCAGGTGAAGATCACGGACGTAGATCTCACTCCAGGTGAGGATCACGAACGTAAATCTCACTCCAGGTGAGTATCGCAAACGTAGATCTCACTCGAGGTGAGGATCACGAACGTAGATCTCACTCCAGGTGAAGATCACGAACGTAGATATCACTCCAGGAATATGCACAAAAGTGTTACTTTATTTTTGCAGTACAAGTCTACATAATACACATACCTACACATTCCTGAAAACAGTATAAAATGTGGCTATCTAACCTCTATGGACGGACCTAGCCAGTAAATACCTTTTGTTTAAGCTGTTTAACTATATTATTCGAACAAGTAGTAAAATAATTTGCACGATGTCTAAGTACGAGAGAATATGCGATACAGTCCCTTTTTGTATGGACCTTGGATTGCAGCTGAAGCATGGACAATACACAAGTTATGGCAGCGCGTGCTCCTCCATTCATTATGCGTAATTATAGATCCATACACCTGGACTAACGTGATGATAATCTTTCAAAAGTACAAATCAGAGAAAATTTACTCTGAGTGTGCTATGGGGTAACACGTCTCCAGGATTGGAAACTAACGAAGAACAGAACTAAAAACGAACTCAATAAAAATATAAATAAATGATTAAATACACTGTT